ATGGATGAGGAATTGTAGGAAGGTGGTAGGGATGAGGAAAGGAGAGGACAGGGTAGGTTGAATTAGGGACACAGCGTGGTGTCATGGAGAGATTGAAATCTCGGTGGGTGGGAGTTTCTTCGGCAGGATAACCGTCGGGGAAACTACGGTTTCCAGGTTGAATATAGTCCTTCTTCAAATATTCTTTTTTAATACCCTCGACCATAGTATGAAGGCCATATTAATTTTGTCATTCCGTTTGTAACTCATCGAAATATTCATTTCCGACCGTATAAAGTATATATATTCTTGATCAGAGTAAAATTCTAAGACGATGTAGCCATGTCCATCCGTCCGTCTGTTGTATTCACGCTATCTTCTGAAGGAATTGAGATATATCGCCAAAATTTTGCATAGATTCGCCTTTTGTCTGCAGGCAGGTCAAGTCCAAAGATGGGATATATCGGTCCACGTTTAGGCATAGCCCCCATATAAGGGTACCGCACAATTTTCGATATTTTAGATTTCTTGAGTGGGCTTTTCAACCGAATTCGCTGAAATTTGGTACATTGGGTTATTTTTTGGTACTAAATGGCTTCACTAAAAATTATAAATATTGGTTCACTTTTTCTGGTAGCCCCCATATAACGGTACTCCCCAATTTACGGTGTTTTGGGGGGTTTTAAGCGCGTTTTTGAACCGAATTCGCTGAAATTTGGTACAATGGGTTCTTATTGGGTACCAAATTTCTCCGCTAAAAATTATAAATATAGGTCAATTTTTTCGGGTGGCCCCCATATAAGGGCACCCCAATTTTCGGTATTTTTGGGTTCAGTCCACTTTTTCTGGTAGACCCAATATAACGGTGCCCCCAATATACGGTATTTTGGGGGCTTTAAGCACGTTTTTAAAACGAATTCGCTGAAATTTGGTACAATATGTTCTTATTGGGTTACAAATTTCGAACTTAACGCTTTTTCACTTGTTCTTTCTTATTTGTCTTCTTATGTTTTTATGTTGACATATGAAAAAGCCCGGTATGATCTAGTTTTTAAGTTCAGACAAAATGTTCCTTGGTTGGTAAGAACCACCCTCACCCGGCATACCAGCAAAGCCAACCAGGAACAGAACATCTTTCCTCTTATAAATTTGATGCAACACATTGCACAAAGAATGACTTAGAGAAATCTGGGCTTAAAAGAACTGGACTAGAAAAAATGAAAATCTTAATATTCTCGAAAGATTCTAAGGATTATTTTGCCTTTTGAAGTTTGGGAGTACATATTCTCAAGCGTGTCCGTTAATGACACCGTTGAACATCAAAATTTTGAGAAACCACTAACAAATCGTCTTCGGACATTTAGGTAAAGTTGAACCACTGAAAGCCCCTATATAGCAAACTATTTTACGTTGCTCCATTTCACATTTGATGAATGAATGTCCCACATTTTACAAATCCAACAAGTAATTTACGTTGTCGACGCTCGATTTTTTTGTGAAATATTTCAAATGGCTCCATTCAATTAATGCTTCACTTGAGAGTAAATTATGAAATCATTTTACAAAAATGACCCACGCACAATTAATTATAAAAATAATAATCCAATAATAATACTCGGCACAAATATATCTTCAACGCATATTGTCTTGGAAGAACCTTGCAGTCAAATTTTAGCCCAAATATTTGAATTTGCAAAGCCGCCAATTGGAATTAAGATTGCTGTTGAAGATTGAGGTAGAGAGACATCTTTACAAATTCTTATTTATGTGAACGAAAAATACTAAACGGCACTAGACTTAGAATTTGGATTAGGGTGAACGGAGAGAGCTCGAACCTTAAAATTTGGAATAATGCTTCCTGTTGAACTATAAAATTGAGATATGAAAGCATAGTACTTGTGTGTACTAAATGGTACTATATTTGGTACAACTTGATTATGTGTGAACGGTTGGAGCGGGTCTCCAGAATTTTTGAATTAAAATTACTTTTGGAGTGTAGGTTTCATATAATTTAGGAAATTCTTAATTATAGAAACAAAGAGTACTAAATAGTACCAAATATTTTACAAATTGTTTTTATGTGAACGGATAGGGCTGCGATTCTGAAATTTCGAATTAATATCACAGTTGGAGCGCAGCATTGATATTTTTGAAAATTCCGTCATTATGTGTACTAAATGGTACAAAATTTGTTACCATTTGATTTGAGATTCGAGTGAACGATTAGAGATGGATAACAAATTTCGTTTTAAAATCGCAATTATTCAAAAGAGTCGGACATGTATATTGGATATATATAAAGGGAAGGCGCAATAAAGGCGAACCTTAGTATTCTACTGAATTATATTCATTTCAGGTATAGTTAGACGTCTTTCAAAAGTCTCGAATCGAAGCGCTGCCCACATATCGAAGGACTACGGGTATTCTATACAATGAAAGAAGATTCGATAGCGGTGTTATATAAATAACAGATAAGGTTAAACAATGTCGTTGCAAAATATTATGTAATTTGTCAAAAATACCGAATAAATATAGATATAAAGTAAAACTTGTATACAAAATATTTTCAAAACTATCATAAAAGGTCGGTTACATTGAACCGGATTTGGTTAACCCAGTGGGTTTAAATTTTCAATTCCTTTGAATATATGCCAAATAAATCGTCATAAAGTAGGTTAACCCGGTAAAAAGATCTAATGTAAATCCCGTATAATAACTAATTTGCTGTATAGGGTAAGTGCACCAATAGTCGGCACTTTAAGAATTTTCGCTTTTTAAACATTTCACCATTCCAAGTACATGTTTTCCACAATATTGTATTTAGGTTCATCTGTTTCGAAATTTTGTTTACTCCACGATGGAATACAAATTTGTTTAATTAATTTGTATTAAAGTACATTAAATTAAAAATTATGTAAAATAGTGCCTTTGTGCCAATAGTCGGCACTTTTTTCCACTTGTCGGCATGTTATGTTCCAATAGTCGACATGTCGCATTTTAGTTAAACAAAAATTATATATTTTATCGATTTTTCTGCTATTTGCAATAATAAATTATTACTATGGGAAGTTTCCATCAGTGTTGTATTGAAAAAGTTAGAAAAAATAATATTATTTATTAAAATATTACAATTATAAAACATGTTGCCGACTTTGGGAACCTGTTATCCAATTCTCGGCATTGCTAAATAAGGCATTTCGGAGGTTAACAAATTTAAGATTAAACAATGTCGTGCATTATGTAAAACCACTTAAAACTGATTTTTTATAAATTAGTCGTTATTTAGAGCACTTATTTAACATTTTTTTCAATTTTGAGCCAAAATGATCGAAAAGGTGCTTATTATTTGCCCATATGCCGACTAAAAATGTTTGTTCCTAAGGGCGGCATCGAAAAAAATATCATAAATACAAATATTTTTAATGATTTTAAATTCTAAAGTATTCTCCTCTATGTTCTTTACAATTACGAAGAAGATCCTTTTAAAAATATATAATTTTAATATAATTACAAGTCTTTTGAAATTGACATGCCCACTAATTTCTTCTTAAGAAACATGAATAATCGCTAGTGTTGACAAACCTCATTGACCAAATGCCAAGTTTTGACTGAATAAATAAACTTAGCTCGTTTAAATTTTATACAGAGATAGGTTGCAGTGTTATTGAGGATTATTAAAGGTATTTTTCATATTTATTTATAGGATTTTTTAGTTATTTGAAGTTATATAAAACATATGCCGACTATTGGTACATGCCGGAATTAGGTGCGTTTACCCTATACGTAGGTAAGGTTAAGGATGTACGGTTGTTACTTACAATTGTTCACTCAGAGACACTCCACTGTGATCATCCTTGATATCTGAAAAGAAAAGGGAAATGAAGAGAGAATATAAGAGAGGGGAAAATAGTTGGAGAGCCTAGAAGATGGTTATTTTAGCCATGCCAGATTTTTGACAAAGCCTAGGATCTGGTTAGGATCTATTTTGGAGAAGAAAGCTAGATTATCAATTTCATATTTTTAAAACTGTTTGTGTCTTCTGCCACTCAGCGATGGACATCTACAAAGGATATGTTCAATTGTTTCTATCTCCTCTTCGTACTCAAACAGACGACAGTAATCCTCTCCGTTGGAATCCCATTTCGAAGTGAGGGATCTAATCTTGCAGTGACCTGTTATGATCCCCACAATGATTTTGATCTCTCTCTTTTTATGTGACAACAGCGAATAAGTTCTTCGGCGAGAGAATTCAGGCCAGATTGTTTTCGAGATTCTGCAACCATGCTCTCTTGACCATATGTTGCCGATTACCTCGCCGTAGATCAGTGATGCTCATATTACTTGCATTGGTATTTGTGTGTTACTCCTCCGCCTATGCATAACAAACGGCAGATTTAAATTGGGAGAGAATACGCGTGGTTTGTTTTCACGAAAAAAAAACAAACAAATCTTTGGTCCGTCTGTGAAAAATTACAGACCTGGCAGAGGTAAGGAGCCACTAGTCCAGGATTCCCTACTATAAAAAATGTCTCTATGAGAGGAAACATAATCACTAATCGCTGTACTTAGCTAATTTTAGCCAGCAGTATCTTTTTGTTGACCCCTGCCACCACACAAGGCATCCATATGTAAGAATGGAGAGTACGACCGTCGCATAAAACCAGTGTATGATCTCTGGTCTTAGTCCCCAGCTCTTACCTATGGAGTGCTTGCAGAAGTAGAGTGCTATTAGTCCTTTCTTAGAGCGTTCCTCAACATTCCTATTCCACGTTAATTTGTGGTCAAGGGTTTTGCTAAGGTATGCCTTGTTACGTATGTACTAACTTAACAGTGGCATCTACCCAATTAATAGACTGGCTTCCCCAATGACATACCCATGTTAAATTCACCAGTCTAGGGAATGATGTGGTAATAAGTTACTCGAACTACTGGGTAGTGTATGGGACCTATAAATGTGTTTGACAATCGAATCATTTATTATAAGTTTTTTAAATTTTGGTATATAACATTGGAAAATTATAATGTCATTCGATTTTAATTACAAAATTTGGGTGTCTGCGAAACATAATATTGACCATTTAATAAAACGCCAAAATGTATTGAAAAAGAGAGATGCAATCGTTGAACCTGTCACATCGTTCAGAATACTATCTGAACTATATATTTTATATGTGGAATTGGCTCACAAATTAAGCTATTTGTACCGTAAAACTCTTCAAGTGCAGAAACGTAATGTGATCAAAGAACTAGTGGATCCCGTAATGCGCACTCTTAGGATGCTAAAAAGCGAACTATGTAATATTGAACTCAGTGAATATGTGTATATGGATAGAATTCTTGTTGCTCGTAAACTTTTACCTTATAATTTATATATTTGGCGTTCGCCCGACTTTTTGCAAAAGAGGCCCCTGTCGTATCAAAATCTCATTTATAACAATAATATATGTATTGATGAACACAAAAACGAGTGCAGATTGAACGAGGAAAAATCACATCTGGTTAATTGTGTTACATTACTACAAGCGCACGAGAGAGCGAGACGTTCACGATATATGAGAGGTTCTATTACGTACAGCAAAACTAAGTTTAAATGCAAAAAATTTCCATATAGATTTTCTCACAAAAAAGGCCAAAGCTTGAGTATCCCCATAAAAAGGACTACATTCAACGCATTTATGGTAAAAGACTCCAACAGTTGTCAGGACATTCTGAAAGATAAATTATGTGAAAGAAATAATATTGATGGTATGTTCTTAAAAATGCTTTAGTTATTACATATGATATTTATTTTGTACACAAATATGTTTTATCTTTGTGCTTAAAATATGGAGAAGCGTGAAGAATTTTATAGTTTTTCCGAAGGCTCCGAATTCTTCGTTCGTAGGCAACCTTTTACTATTGGTTTTTATATATGGGCAATATAGCCAATTTTTTAACATAGCTGAAGCCGAGGTTCACCCCTTTATAACTCGGGAATTACTTAAGTATATGAAAACCAGTGAGCGGAGCAGTATAGTCGGACGGGGCCGACCATATATATGATTACGTAAGCACTTGTAAATATTTATGTGTAACTCCCACATCCGAGAACATACGATAATATAATTGATATCAATTTAAAAGTCAGCCACTCCTCTTGGATGTACTATCAACTTCTCGGGTCTATGTACTTTAGGAGCAAATATATACGCCATAGAATCCAAATTTCGTAATTTTTCACACAAAAGTCAGGGTCCATTTGACCCGCCAAATATTGACCGATCTTTATCAAAACATGCATGCTTATTCTTTGGCCCGAACCACTTCTCCATGTAAAATTTCACGATGTTCGGATCATAATTGCAATGGAGGAACCAGAAAAATCGACAGCATTTCATCTGAATTTGAACCGTGTTTACATGCAAAATTTCGTGAAGATTGGTCCATAACTGTGGCCTGTATCGTGTTTACAAATTATAATGGACAGACGGACGGACACACATGTCTAGATCGACTCAGCTAGTCGAGATATGAAGATCGGTATACTTAAAGGTGGGTCTAGGACCAATATTTTGCGGCGTTACAAACTCTTGGGGCTGCACAAAGCTATAATACCCTGACAACATAGTTGTGTAGGGTATAAAAAGTGAAAAGTTTTGGGTTTATTGATCTGTGGTTGCAAACTTTTCATGATATTGACCTCCTAAGTTTATATGCGTGGAAGCTGCGTCTAGTTTAATGGCAAAAAAATGTGTAAAACAGGTTGAGGCGAACCAATTTTGTATGTTCTCTATCGATTTGTGACTAAGCCACTCATTTCACGGTCTTCGTGTCAAAGTAAAATTAGAAGCCTACAAAATCAAATTTCAATAAACCTATTTTTCGGGCCAAATTTTTAGATCTGTGATTTGAATGATATGGGTACCCGCGATCAGTAAGGTTTTTTACGTTTCGGATGAAATAAAATTTTCTTCGTGAAAATCCATCTTCTATAACGGCGGGAACTGACCTTCCAAAAACACGAAATTTGGCAAAAAATGTTTTTGAAACTATCGCGGATTTAATTGCATTTTTTGTGGATCAGAATACAGAACTTTAAAAACTTTCGCCGAAAGAGAGATGTACCCAATTTATCTCAAAAATTGATTGAGCTGGGTCATCCATGGTTTCTCATGGACCACATTGAAATAGGTAAAGATCTATGTATTATTTTAGGGTGCACACCGAAATCGGATACGCGTTAAAATCATATGGACTTTTCGGAAGTTATTCCTTTTATAAATGTAAATTTTTCAGTGAAATTCGGGTAAAATAGGAGAATAACCCTAACATATTATTTTAAGGTGCACACCGAAATCGGATGCGCGTTAAAATCATATGGACTTTTCGGAAGTTATTCCTTTTATATATGCCAATTTTTCAGTGAAATTCGGGTAAAATAGAAGAATAACCCTAACATTTTTTCTAATATTTTTTGTATAAAATTAAAAAATAAATATGATGAAATTTTTTTTCAAACCAAAAACAAATATTTTTCCTCAATATCTTGGTTTGTTGTCGCTGAAATTTACTAACCACTACACAGACTTGTGTGATATTGATATCATTTGATTAATCGTGGTGTTTGTCATGAATATAATGACAAAATCCCCTATATTTTTATTATTTTTCTCATATTTCGCGAAAATGTGAAACCTTTTCGCGATTATTATATCTTCATACGAAGGAAGTCATATATCGCCGTTTTTCGTCAATATAATAAATGGTGTAATTTTAAAATTTTTTTCTTATCCCCAATATTAAAACATTAGCCATGTCACGACAGAGCGTTCTCGCTCATTTTAGGGAGAAATTAAAATCTAATAACTTTAGAAGGAATTTTTAACATTAATACGAATATTGATTCATGCAAATTGGGAACCAAATAACGTCTGTCAAATTTGTTTTAAATCGGTCCAGATATTCATTTTGTCCAATTATTTTCAAACAGTATATGTTTTTATACAATATCACATTATAATAAATATCTATGACTAAATATACGTATTCAGAATTATTTTTATAAAATATTTTAAATTTTTCAAACTGTTATACAGTCTAATTTGTTTGTTTTAAATTACGCCGTTTATTATATTGACTAAATACGTATATTGGCTTCCTTCGTAAAATATGTATATGTATATATATTATAAAAATCGCGATGACTTGCACATTTTCGAGAAATATGAGAAAAATAATAAAAATATAGGAGATTACGTAATTATATTAATGGCATGTATCGGCCTAAAAATGTATTTAAAAATATCTACATAATCTAAACCCCACGGTAAATCAAGTTTATTTTCCAATCCATGTATATATAGACTATTCGTAATCCGCGAATAATTTCCTAAAAGTCCATATGCTTTTAACGTGCACCCTAAAAAAATACATCGATCTATACCTATTTCAATACGGTCCATTAAGAACCATGGATGGCCCAGCTCAATGAAAAAAATTTCGTACATCTCTTTTCAAAATTCATAGCGGGTCATTTATTGAAACGAAATGACCCGTAGAAAATTTAATTAAAAACAGGTTTTGCCAAATTTCGTGTTTTTGGCAGGTAAGTCCCGCCGTTATAGAAGATGGATTTTCACGAATAAAATTTTATTTTATCCGGAACGTAAAAAAGCTTACTGATCGCGGGTACCCCCCATATGAGTCAAATGCTAAAAAAATCTCGCCGGAAATTTGATCATTGAAGTTTGATAGATTGAAGAATATAGATTGATGGTGCAAACAAGTAACAAATTTCCATCCTTAAATATAATATGGGTAAATGATTAAACGATGGATTTTTTAAGTTATGTGATCAGTATTCACTACATATTTATGCTCCGATAGAACAACGTGGACTTTGTATTTGATATTTCAGCTACTTTTTACTCGACGCACTATGTCGCGAGTTCATATTAACAGCGGCCAAAAATAGAAGAAGTTATCGTAGGTGGATGAAATTTGGTACAAGTGCTTATTATTGGCCAAAAGAACAACACACAAAAAATTGGATAGATCGGACAAAGATTTGGTATACCTCCCATATAGTGAGAATTTTACCCTTTTTGGTTTTTCAACCAAATTCAATGCAAAATGGCAATTTTTATCTAAAAACAACTGGAGAGATCGTACCAAGATTTGGTATACCTCCCATACAAAGGGTCTTGAAAAATCCGTTTTTTGTGCCTATAAAATCGTTAATATTCTGCCAGATTTGATGAACAATTGACAGTTTATTTAAAACTAGCATATGCCCGCAACTTCGTTAGCGATTGTAGGAAATGTTTAATAATGTATTAACATATTATTTTATTTTTACATAAAACTGCATATGTCTGAAAAAACAATCCACACATTAATATCGACAATAAATTAAATTTGAGTACCATTTAGTATCAAATTTCATGATTCGAGCTCTAAAGGTTCACCCAAATCCAAATTTTAACAAATTTTCCATTTAGTACACATTATTTCCATAAGTACCCTCCTCAACCAATGATTCCAAATTCAAATTTCAGGATTCCAACTCTATTAATTCACCCACAATTGAAATTGTACCAAATTTAGTAGTAGAATTTCCGAAATTTCCAGCTTAACCCAAACCTACACCCCGACAGTGATTTTAAATCCAAGATTCAGGATTGCAACTCCATAGGTTCACCCACAATTCAAATTGTACCAAATTTAGTACACAGTAGTATGAATTTCCAAAAACCTCTTACTTACCCCAAACCTACACCACCACAGTGATCAGGATTCCAGTTATACGAAATTTTGAACACAGCAGTGCCAAAATTCACCCAACCACTATTGGTTCACCCATAATTCAAATTCTACCAAATTTTGTACATAGTTGTACCAATTTCCAGAACTTCCTACATACCCCAATCCCACACCCCCACAGTGATCCTAAATCGAAGTTTCAGGATTCCAACTTTATCGGTTGACCCACAATCCAAATTGTACCAAATTTAGTACACAGTAGTACGAATTTCCAAAATTTCTTACTTAACACAAACCAACAACCCACAGTGATCCTAAATCCACGTTTCAGGATTCAAACTTTATCGGTTCACCCACAATACAAATTGTACCAAATTTAGTACACAGTACATGGCATAATAATAGAAGGTAACAGCTAGTGTTGTTGTACAAAAAACGATACAACAACCACATGGAAATTTGTTGTTGTAAGTTCTACTAGTGTCAACTCATTTGACAGAAAAATGTAAACAAACAAACTATCATCAAATTATTTTTATTTTGAAAATGAAATATTTTCGAATCCTCAAAATAAAAATTGAAAAACATGAATGAAAATCTATCAAATTTATATTTCTATCGCTTCCACATCTTTCCTATAATTGAGCCATTGCCATATATATGTGTAACACATATGAAAATGCAGGGAATAGCGAGTTGTTCCTTGAAGAAAGATTTGCTTCCTCAAACTTTCCCAGCAGGCAGATTGAGTAAGTTGAATACGGGAGCACATTTAATAAAGAACAATTACAAATTGTATGCGTTCCCAATTTTCCTGTTGGGTGATTTTTAAAAACATAATTTGTCAAATTCATATTGACACTAGTATTACGTTGGAATCAAATCAGCAGGGACTTGCTGTTACCTTTTATAATTGTACCATGTACACAGTAGTACGAATTTCAAAAACTTCCAACTTAACCCAAACCAACACCCCCACAGTGATCCTTTTTAGGCGAGGAGTT